AATCTATTAGTTTTGTACGTACAATCCATTAGTATAATGTTGTAGTTTAACTGTAGGATCTTAATGGAATCCGGGTGCGCAAAGAAGAGGTAATTAATCCGGTTCTCATAGTCCTTTGTATAGCTGTATACATACATCGTCTCTCAGCCGTTAGGTGCAGGAAATGTAGATGTTTCTAGCGTATTGAGGAGCGCTTGTATAGGCGAGAGGCCACCGAGAAGCTCAGTTCTATACCGGGTTCGCTTATTGCGATTGACTCAGGTTGAAAATTGATGTGAACTCTGATTTCTATAGACGTCTAGCTAGTTGTATATATACTAGGGGAAGGAAGGGGGGCCACCCCTTGGGTGGCGCGCTAGTAAGTTCAGCTGAACACTGCACAGCTGAGTTTTCAGCTGGGCTCTCCACAGCTGAGATCTCAGCTGTGTTCTCTACAGCTGATGTTTGGAGTAGCTTTCTAGCATATGAGTTGTTGATCCTAGGTTGTAGTGCTGCAACCTGAGTGATTGTCATCAGCAATAATGGTTGCCCCTTTCTTCAATAGCTTTGCGTATGTTTCCTGAGGCCTCGCGCCGCTCGATGCATCGCTTTGAATGAGTCGGTTTGTTGAGGCTGAGCGCTTCCTATTGCATGCGGCTGCTGTAGGTTTTAGCATAGGATAATGGTTATTGTAAGCCGCCTCCTCCGTCTCCCACACCCATAGACGTTCACTATTATAGCTAGGAGGCTGCCGAGTGAGCGTACCGTGCATCCTACAGTCTATTTTGTTGGTAGATGTATTGCGTATGCGTGCAGTAGGCTCTGGATTGCCACAAAAGCAGCATTTGAACCAGATCTTCCTTGTCGTCTTTGCTGCCGTCTTGTCATTCTTTGAGCGGTACTTAACACGCCCATAGCCTTGCGCCTTTGCATGCCCTGTGAGCGCCTCCTCAGCTTCCTCTATAGTATTGTAGGACCGTGGCGGTGGCGGCTGGAGGGCCATAGTGAGCGTATTGTGGAGGTGGTGTATGAGGATGAGGATGTAATTGTACATGGCCGCATTTAGAGAGAGCATTTAGAATTAGTGAGCAAGTTAAGCGAGCGAATCGGAGGCTCCGGAGCAGTGCTCCGAGCCAATTAGAAGGTGGTGAAGCGCCAAGAGGGGGGGGGGTGTGCGTGGAGGAATTAGGGGGTGTGCGTGGAGGGATTAGGGGGTGTGAGATTATCAACCCCCTTTCTATTAGAGCGTTGTTATTCTATCTAATTTTGGTGGGGTAGAAAACCGTGCATAAGGTGGTGGCCGTGCACGAGGTGGGGTCGAGTTCTATCGAACTCTCTGCTCGTTGTGACAGCAGTTTATAGGTGCCCGTATGCAAGCTTGTCTCCTGCGTTCCTAGCCAAAGCAAACCAAATCTATACAGTGCTCTTAATCTAAAATATTGCGTTAGCATTACAAGTAGAAACTCCCAATCGATCATTGCCCTACCTGTCTTCCGTTGAAATGATGGGCCTGAAGTTTATTCAGATCTCTGGGAGAGATGTTACAGTGGCCTCGGCTTGGTGTAGGGAGATTTGCTACACTCTTTGCTCAGGTCGTTATATCTGCCCTGTGGGGCTCGTGAACGGTGGACCTGGGTCGCGGTCTGCTGCCGTGTGTGGGGATCGTTCAGGCTGGCGGGAAAGCGCGGAGGTCGGCAGCTTTCCGTATCTGGAGGTCGATCGGAGAAACAGGTTACAGGCTACAGCACGCGAAACATCCAGCGAGCTGCCAACGGGTTCTGCAGCTCATCGTCGATTCATTCACATCGGCCCGAGTTGCTCGCATGGTGGAATGCCCCGGGTCCCCTGCGCCCGCATGCCGCGTGCAAATTGTCATACCTGTCGGAGACGGACATCCGTGCTGGATGCTTGGCTTGCCAGCGGGAGCATCTCAAAGAGGACTGCGTGTTGGTGGGAGGAAAGGGTCCAAATTCATCACCTCGCTCCACCCTGTTGGGTCTGGCTTGCCGCTTAGCGATCGCAAACCCGCACCGCTGGGACCAGAACTCTGGACCACCCCACTGCACCAGGTACGGAGCGGGCCAGATTGGCTGCAATTTTTATCTATCCAGGCTTTTTATTGATTGCATCTTTAAATAGGTTGACCCTCTCTCAAGGGTCAAGGGCCAAGGGTCAAGGGACAGTGGAGCTTTCCCACGCCGAATCGTGGGTCCGGCCATCAGATCGCAGTCTTGTGCAGGTGCAGAAAAAGCTCGTCGTACCGTTCACCTAATGCTCCGGGGGTGATGAACGTTATAGCGCATGTGAACGTTATATCGAGTGTCACTGTCCGCCTAATATTAGAACGGTAATTGGAAGGTTGAACGGTATAGCGTATATTCATGGTATATAGCATAAACGTTATAACGAGCATTTACTGTACTGCGCCGTAATTCCAGATTAGTTGCCGCACGGCTCAACTACGCGCCATCTTGACCCAAACTTAAAGGCTGATAGCACTCAGCTAATAACAAACGATGCAGGCACTGAATAGCCTGGAGAAGATTCTGCTCGTCAGCTGACTATGCAACCTAGACTCTCGCGTCTAGCTTGCTGCCGTTACCAGCAGAGACGAGGCCGGAAATTAAGGCACTATTCTTTGTAATTGGAAAGTTTTATCATCACTCGACAGTAAAGAAATAGAAAGAAGAAACCCATGGGAGAGCATAGCTGGCTACGTAATCCAGACTCTCGCGGCCGACTCATCGTGAGTGGGCCACGATAACGGTATTCCGACGCTAGCATCTTGGCAAGAGTATATAAGAAAGGCATCGCCCTCTCTTCCCTCGAGCGGGCTTCGGCCTTTGCTCTCTTGCTCATAATGTAGGTGCTAACACCTCCAGCTGATGTCTTCTGCCATTTACCTTCACCATCTCCTTCCTATCTCCTTCTCATCTACTTGCTTTATCTCCTTGCTATTTTCTTGCCATCTACTGCTTCATATACGTGTCATCTACTACCTGGTAGGCTTGCTTCATCTACTTGCTATCTTAATCTGTCCTCTACTTTTGCTATCTACCTTTGCCATCTATATTTACTGAGGATGGAGGTGAAACAATGCATTGAACGAGGTAAGTGATGTATTGGATGAGCATCTATCTAGGCTACGTACGCCGTATATATACTCTGTGTGCGTGGAGGCTTACGTAGCCGTACCGTAGAACTGTGTGGGCTAAGTATAGGAACCGTGTTCTATATCAAGGTAGCTGAGCTAGCCGTACCATACTCCGTAGGCTAGCTGGCTAAGAATACGTACTCCGTCATTTACTATTTACTCTTGCCATCTACTTTTGCCATCTTCTTTCCATCTACCGAGCCATAGTAAGTCATTTACCCTCGCAGGGCGGAGTCGGTGCTGTCACCTGGATGGCCGACACAGATAGGGTGCGTTGCTAGAGCCCCCATCGTTACCCTTCTCATCTTTCTGCCATCTACTTCTTAATCTACTTATCTACTTACCATCTAATAACTATATACTTACTATCTCTTCAATCTCTAATTATCTCTTGCCATCTACTTGCCATCTACTTGCCATCTACCAAGCCATAGTTAGTCATTTACCCCCGCTGGGTGGAGACGGCAGCATCGCCTGGATGGCCGTCACGGATGGGGTGCGTTGGATGGGGCCCCTATCATTACCCAGCATCTTCTTGCCATCTATCCCTACCTTTCCCTATCTTTTCTTATCTGAAACCTTCTAACCACTTATTTCTAACTATCTCTTGCTATCTATAACCATCTACTTTTCCATCTACAGAGCCATAGTAAGTCATTTTCCCCCGCTGGGCGGAGGCGGCAACATCGCCTGGATGGCCGTCGCGGATGGGGTGCGTTAGAATGGGGCCCCCATTGTTTCCCATTATCTCTTTGCCATATACTTGCCATCTATTGCCATATTTACTTATCTACTATCTACTTTCCACTTATCTCACCTCTAACCATCTCTTGCCATCTATAACCATCTCTGCCAGATATAACTATCTCTGCTATATATAACCATCTATCTCTGCCATCTACCAAGCCATAGTAAGTCATTTCCCCACGCTGGGCGGAGGCGGCACCATTCGCCTGGATGGCCGTCACGGATGGGGTGCGTTGGAATGGGGCCCCCCATCGTTTCCCAGCATCTTCTTGCCATCTACTGCCATCTATATCATCTTTCCTTATCTAACATCTACTTTCCTCTTATCTTATTTCTAGCCATCTCTGCCATCTATAACACGGTGTTGATAATAATTTTGTTATTTGCGGCACGGAGGCCTCTGTAGGCCGTGCAGGCTCGTAGGCGTAGAACTTGGCCTTAGGCGTCGCGTTAATAAGGCTATAGAGCCTTCGAATTGAGCCGCCCAGAGGCCTAGCTCTCCGCCAGCTGCACGTACCGGAGGAGACCCCCTAACGCACTCCTAAGAGGCAACTATCTACGGGACGGTAGGCGGGTAGAAACAAGCTACGAGAGCCGTCGTGGCGTTGAGAATCAAGCTCTGGAGTTGCAGAGTTTTCGGATCTCTTGGCGCCACGTGACTCGCTGAAAATAGACCTCTCTATGAAAATTCTGCGTTTTCAGAACAAGTAGCGGCATCAGGCGTATATACGAGCAGCATTCAAACCGTGATATCCGCGCAATAGCTTTCCGGTTATAGCGCAGCCATATTAGTACTACAACGCTACTCTTCAATAGTCACTTATTACTAAGTACAGTTTACAGCAAGGAATGCAAGAGCTAGATTTGTTCTATTTGTGCTGCTCAGTATTACGGAGCGTAGCGAGGAATGAGGTAAGCTAAGGAAAGTTCGCTTATCTTAAACCTAGCTTTTGATACCGTTTAGAGATTGGTATGCGCTTCTGGACACGAGAATGCGATACGCCTTAAGGTAGCGGGTGCGCGTGATCACCTTTTGCGGCTATTAGCGCACTTGTCTCGTTTTCTAAGGTATGTAAAGCAACAAGCTTTGCCCGTACGTCTTTATACTCTTAATGATTATGTCTAAAGACTTCCTTATACCCTAATAGAGCCCTTAAGTATATTGCTCTAGCTCTGCCTATATTACTGTAGTTAGAAAACAGTAGGGCTAGATTGTAGGTTATATTTAGTGCTAGTAGGTAAGTCGCAACATTTTCCCGTCTAAGTGCCTTCTTGTACCTTTGCAGCGCCCGATCGTACATCTCCTCCGCTTTATCTAGCCGTCCCTAAGCCTTGTAGAGGTTGCCCAGGTTGTTAACCGTGTTAAGTGTTGATGTATGCTCCGCTCCCAGTGCCTTCTCGCATCCTTGCAGCGCTCGATTGTACATCTCCTCCGCCTTATCCAGCTATCCCTAAGCCTTATAGAGATTGCCTAAGTTGTTAACTATAGAGAGTGTTAATGTATGCTCCGCTCCTAGTGCCTTCTTGCATCCTTGCAGCGCCTGATTATACATCTCCTCCGCCTTATCTAGCCGTCCCTGGTCCGCGTAGAGGTTGCCCAAGTTGTTAACCGTGGAGAGTGTTGATGTATGCTCCGCTCCTAG